GTTATGATTACTAACTGTGTGTTTCCCTCCATCCTATTTTTCACTTGTTCATTCTTCTCTCTCTCTTTCACTTTATCCCTCTTCACCAGTGTTTGCTTCTGACCACTACCTTCCTTAATCTGACCTCCCTTCTATCAGTCCCTCCACTTTTCTCTTCTCCTTCCTCTCCTACTTCCCTATAGGGTAAGATAGATTTCTATACCAAATTGTTATTGTGTATATTATCCCCTCTTTTAGTCTAATCTGATGAGAGCAAGATTCAAACAATGCTCACTCCTCCCTTCTTTCCCTCTACTGTGATAGGTCTTTCATACCTCTCCATGTGATATAATTTACCCAGTTCTGCCTCCTCCTTCCCTCTTCTCCCAATACAATCCTTTTTTCAGTCTTTAATTTTTTATACCAAAACATCAAAGTCAACTTATACCCACATCCTCTATGTATACTCCTTCTAACTGCCCTAATAATGATATAGTTCTTAAGAGTTACAAGTATCATCTTCCTACGTAGGGATGTAAACAGTTTAACCTTATTGAATAACATGTTTTTTCTCTCCTGTTTACCTTTTTTATGCTTCTCTTGAATCTTGTATTTGAAAACTGAATTTTCTGTTCAGCTCTGGTCTTTTCATCAAGAAAGTGTGAAAATCTCCTGTTTCATAGAATGTTCATTTTCCCCCATGAAAGATGCTCAATTTTGCTAGGTAGTTTATTCTTTTAAAAAAAATTTCTCATTAATTTTAAACTTAAATACAAAACAAAAAAGAAAAAAAGAACATTTCCATGTACACAGCAGAACATGAGAGGATTCAATATAAAACATAAATTTCCATTTCACAAACATCTATGTAATAAATCCTACACATTTTTTTTTTCAAAACAACCCAGATTTTCTGGTTTTCCTTCTAGGTTTTCTTTTGTTCTCTGCTGTACACTTTTTATTTTATTTCTTCCCCCTCTTCCCCCACCCCTGCCCTAGAGAAAGCTACAATTAAATGCAAATATAGATATACATATACTTACATATCCAGAAACATGCACACAGATATATACATATACATATACACACATACATATATGTAAGACCATACTACGCATATTTGTATTTGTCAGTTCTTTCTCTGGAGTGGAAAGTATCTTCCTTCATAGGTCCAAGTCTTTCTTGTTTTTCTAAATCAACCAGCTCATCATTTCTTATATCACAGCAATATTCCATCACAATCATATTCCACAGGTTAGTCATTCCCCAATTGAAGGGCTCTGTCATTTTAGCCAATCTAATAGGTATAAGATGATATCTCAAAGTTATTTTAATTTGCATTTCTCTAATCAGTTATGATTTAGAGCATTTTCTCATATAATTATATATAATCTTTATTTCTTCACTGAAAAACCACCTGTTCATATCCTTTGGCTATTCATCAATTGGGGTATGACTTGTATTCTAATAAATTTGACAAATTTCTCCATATATTTGAGAAGTGAGACCCCTATCTCAGAGATTGTCTATGAAAGTTTCCCCCCCCAATTTTCTGTTTTCCTTCTAATCTTGGCTTGGTTTTATCCATTTTACACCTTAACACGGTACATGATTTAAGATATTGGCCCAATTCCTGCCAGACTGCTTTCCAGCTTTCCCAACAATTTTTACCAAATAATGAATTATTCTCCCCAAACCTTAAATCTTTACATTTGTCAAACACAAAGTTACTATAGTACTTTACTACTGTGTATTATATATCTACTCTGTTCCACTAATCCACTTCTCCATCTCTTATTCAGTCCCAGATAATTCTGCTATCCACTTCCATTTTATGGGTAAATTCATCCCCATTCACATTCTAAGTTACACTTGTTGTGTATTTCCCTCCATCCCATTTTTCCTTCCTATCCTTCTCTATTTACCCTATCCTTCCTCACTCATCTAATTTACTTCTATCCACTACCTTGCCCTCTTATTCCTTAATTTACCCACCCCTTTAAGAGTCCCCCTTTAATTCCTCTCCCCCCCAACTTCCTCCTTAATCTACCTATCTTTCTAAGAATTTCTCCCTTCTCCCTTCCCCCTCCTAATTCTTAATCTACACACCCTTCTAAAAGTCCCTCCCTTATCCTATCCCCTTGCCTTCTTATTTCTTTCTAAATTTAGAAGGCTTTTATACCTCTCTAGATGTATATGTTATTCTCTCTTTAGCCCATTTCTGATGAGGTTTCAGCACTACCAGCCCTCCCCACCACTTACTTCTTCTGTATCAATTCTCCCTTTCATGACTCATTTGTATGAGATAATTACTCTTTTTTTATCTCCCCTACAGTTTTATTTTTTAGAATCACCCCATCATACATACCTCAGCCCAAGCCTTTCTTTCAAACTACCCAAATACTGATGACAGTCATAAGAGTACTGATAACATTTTCACATATAAATAAACAGTTTGACCTTATTGAGTCCCTTATAGTTGGTCTTTAATATTTACTTTATGTATCTCCTGGATCTTATATGTTGAATTTTCCATTAAGTTCTGCTCTTTTTGTCACAAATACTTGAAAGTCTTTCAATTCATTAAATATCCTTTTTTTTCCATTCAGGATTATATTTAACTTCACTGGGTAACTTATCCTTGGTCATAACCCCAAATCATTTGTTCTTTGAAATATAGTGTTCCAGGACCTATTGTCCTTCAACATAGAAACTACTAGGTATTGTGCAATCTTGATTGTGGCTCCATGATATTTAAATCATTTTTTCCCTTGTTGTTTGCAGTATTTTCTCTTTAACCTGGGAGCTTTGAAACTTGACTATGATATTCCTGCAAGTTTTCCTCCTGGGATATCTTTCACGTGGTGATTGGTGGATTTTTTTTTCTTTCTATTTTTGCTTTATGTTGTTCTAGAATTTTAGGGCAATTTTTCTTAATCATTTCTTGTAATATTTTATCAAGATTCTTTTTTTAACCTTCAGGAAGTCCTACAATTCAATTGTTTCTCTTTGATCTGTTCTTTAGATCAGTTGTTTTTCTATTGAGATATTTCGTATTCTCTTCTATTTTCTCATTCTTTTGGTTTTATTTTATTATTTCTTGTTGTCTTGTAATGTCATTAGCTTCCCCTTGCCCAATTCTATTTTTTAAAGAGTTATTTTTGTCCTTAAGTTTTCGACTCTTTATTTCTTTTTGGTTGACTTTCTTTTCATAATTTTCTTGATTTTCTTGGATTGCTCTTATTTTTTTTTTTCTGTTTTTTCCTTGATCTCTCTTATGTGATTTTTAAAGTGCCTTTTAAGTTCTTCCAAGAATTCTTTTTGTGCTTGGGACCATTGGATGTTTCTCATTGAAAAAAGAGTGACTTTTTTTTAGCTCCACTATCTTCTTGTGAATATGAACCCAGATCTTTTCTATCCCCATAGTAGCTATCTATGGTTGGGTTCTTTCTCTTTTGCTTAATCATTTTTATTTTCATTTTGTTTTGTTTTATTTTAGCAGCTTTTTATTATAATCAAGTTCCAGTCTCGAGGTGTGGGGAATGATGGCCCAGGCCTCAGGTCCCTCTTACTCTTATTTTCTGAGCTCTGTCCTGAGGCCTAGCCATGGGCACTCCTCTCCATCCCTAAGCCACAGCTAGGGTCCCTAGCCATGCTATCCAGCAAATGATCTTACTCCCTGTAGTCTCTTTGGTGTCTGCAAACTTCAACTGTCCTTTCTGCCCTGGAACTGTAACCAGGGACTCTGCTCTCTAGCAAGTGCCCACAGACAGCAGGGTCCCAGACCCTTGTTACTGCACTCATCAGGTGTGTGCTAGCTCTTTCTCCTCTGCAGCCATAGCCTGGGACTATATCTGGTTAGCACAGCTGTGCTTGGCATCCCTTGACAGTGGAAGGTCCTGCACTCTTCTCCTATTCAGCCATCAGACCCCACATTGTTCATGAGGTGAAAGTTTCCAAGGTCGAGGCTGCCTCCCAAACCAGCTGCCCCCAGGGTTTATTGTTTCTTGATTCTGCACAGTGGGCCTGGAGTCTCACACTTCACTCCACCCCTAGAGACTGAGTCTTTCCTGGGGTTCTCTTAAGAGTTGTCTTAGGACAGGTCTGCACAACCTTTGACCTGCCAAAAGATTTCCTCTCCATACAAAGGATGTTTTCCTCTACATTTTTCAAGGGGCACTCAAAATCCTTTGGCATGCTGCAAGCAGCCTGAGGGCTGTAAGTGGCCTGTGGGCCACAGTTTGTGTATACCTGTCTTAGGAGGACAACTGCTTTACCCCAACTTTTATTTATTTCTGCTGCTCTATGTTCACTCTGAGGCGATGTTCTGTCTTTTTTTGTGGAGGAAATTTGGAGATCATGAAGTTTTCTGACCTACTCCACCATCTTCCCAGAATCCTTTGTTAGCTAGTTGATTCTCGGTTGTAATCCAAGCTCCTTTGCCTTACGGAATATTATATTTCAAGCCCTCCAATCCTTTACTGTAGAAGCTGTTAAGTCTTGTGTAATCTTGACTGTGACTCCTTCATATTTGACTTTTTTCTTTCTGGTTGCTTGCAGTTTTTTCTCTTTGACCTGATAGTTTTGGAATTTGAATATAATATTCCTTGGACTTTTCATTCTGGGATCTTTTTCAGGAGGTGATCAGTGTATTCTTTCAATGACTATTTTACTCTTTGGTTCTAGGATATCAGGACAATTTTCCTTAATAATTTCTTGAAAGATGCTGTCCAGGCTCTTTTTTTGATCACAGCTTTCAAGAAGTCCAATAATTCCTTTTTTTTTTTTTGAGTTCTTTTGCCCCAGTTAGGAGGGCATATCTTTATTGGTACAAAACAGGAGACAGACTCATGAAAATCAATCCATCTGGCTATGTCCATAGGAAGGGCAATCTGCCCATGGCTATGAAGTCAGTATGTCTAGCCATATCCTTGGGCAAGGAGGAGGTCATTCATTGTTTTTGGCCAGGTCTGGGCCACTGTCTACCGAAGCCTCTCTCCCTTGGTCGGTTATAGGGGCCATTAGGCACATGGCGCTGGAAACGTGGCATCATCAGATTGTGGCGCTGTCTATAGTGAGGAAGAGATTGGGCAAGAGGCTGGGGAGCAGGCGGGGAATCCAACATAGCAGGAGGAGGTAAGGGATCACCGAAGGCCATATAGTTAAGAGGGAAATAGCCAGGCAGGACAGGATTATCTGAGAAGAAGCAGCTGTCTTGAGGCAGGACTTGAGGTGAAGGGTGGGGTAAAGGTGGGGGCCGAGGTTGGGATGGAGGCAGGAACTGGGACTGGAGGTGCCTATCTGGTCGAGTCGGAGGATGATCAGTCTCTTGGCCTACTGGCTCAAAGGAAAGAGACCTCTTAGTCCTCTGAGATGAATATCTCCAAGATGCAAACTCCTCAGGTCTTTGCATTGGATGCTCCAAGGGGGACCACTCTGGGGGTGCAAATGATGACTGATTCCTAAAACGAGGTTCCTCAGCTGCCTGGGCTGGATGTCTCCAGGGTGCAAAAGGCCCCTCAGATGGATGGCCTAGATGCCTCCAGGATGAAGCCCCCTTGAACCTTGGGCCTTGATATTCTAGGGATGACTGCTCCTGACTCCACTCCCCAAGAGGGGTGCTCCGGCGGGGAGCCTCCACCCCCCAGGCCTCAGCCACATGGGCCAGCAATAGCTGTGAGACGTGGCGGTGGGCATGTTGGTCCCAATGGATGCCATCCATACGCCGATGCTGAACTGCATGTCGGAAGTGGAAATGCAGGTCAAGTACATCGAAGTGGTGCTCATCTGCCAACATTGAGCAGTAGAAATTTGCTTCCAACACATCTGCACGTAGAGAGCCTGTCGCTGGCTGAAGTTCAGGCAACAGAAAGCCTCCTGTAATGCGCTCACCCAGTGGCATAGCCAGGGTCCATACCAGAAGGCAAGAGGCAGGCAGAACTTGTTCCATCCTTTCAAATAAACATTCCAAGTTTTCCTGGTAACTTTTAATGGCATCACCACCATACCTGGAGAGGTCCCAGAGGCAGGAATTTATGATGACCAGGTCAGGAGGTGGCCCATGCTCTAACTCAGCCAGGACATCCTCCACATAAGCTGAGTAGACTCGGGTGAGAAAATAGAATCGTAGGAGGTGGTGTCCTGAACTGGACAGGAACTGGCGGACCTCCCGATAATGAGTCCCATTGTGTAGTTCACCCAGTTGTCCCCCTGCCACCAGACGGTCCTGCTCGAAGCTCAGCTCCCCTTTGGCCTTGAGCTGGGCTTCTGTCAATAGGCAGTCTTTCTGCAACAGAAGTACAAGGTCCTTGTACACAGCCCTCTGGATAGAGTCTCCCAGGACAACCACAAACTTGTTGTGCAGCAGCTGCCGGACCTCTGATGACAAGAAATGAACCATGGTGCCCGAGAGTGACAGATAACCAGGCTGGTAGGGACTGGAGGAACTTGGCTGAACTCAGCTGGTTTGAAGGAGGTGAGGGAGGAGTGGCCAAGCAAGCTCTTCAGATCAACTTGGAGCTTCAGCTTCGCTCAATACGAAGCCCTCAGAAGAGTCCGTCCTCCACGTGCTTGGGATGCTCCAGCTCACTGCTCACCCTTATTTATCTAGCATCAGAGTGAAAGAGAGGAGAGATCCTGGAGGGCTGCCTAGAGGTGGAGGAGAGAGAGAGGAAGCTGTGAGTGAAGGGAGCAGAAGGGGAGGGAAAAGGGGAGGGGGAAAAGAAAAGGGAGAGGAGGGAAGAGGGGAGGAGAGGATCGGACAGCTTGGAAAAAAGCAGTCCAATAATTCTTAAATTATCTCTCCTGGATCTATTTTCCAGATCACTTGTTTTTTCAATGAAATATTTTACATTTTGTTCTATTTTGTCATTCTTTTGATTTTATTTGATGTCTCATAGCTTCCACTTGTCCAATCCTAATTTTTAAGGAATTATTTTCTTCAGTTAGCCTTTGTACCTCCTTTTCCATTTGGCCAATTCTACTTTTTAAGGAGCTGTTTTCTTTTTCCAAGCTGTTGACTCTTTTTTCATGATTCTCTTGCATCACTCTCATTTCTTTTCCCAATTTTTCTTCTACCTCTCTTATCTGATTTTTAAAATCCTTTTTGAGCTCCTCTAAGAGGAATTTTTGGGTTTCAGACCAATTCATATTCCTCTTTGAGGCTTCACATTTAGGTGTTTTACCATTTTATCCTCTTCTGAGTTTATGTTTTGATCTTCCTTATCATCATAGCTTTCTATGGTCAGGGCTTTTTTTTGGTTGGGTTTTCTGCTCATTTTTCAGCCTATTTTGTGATTTAAAGTTAAGCTCTGCTCCTGTGGTACAGGGGGCATTGTTCCAGGCTTCTTGCTCTAGGGGCTAGGGGTCTGGCCATTGGCTTTCTGTGTTGGGGTTTCTGGGACTGGCAGTTTGCCCACTGTGCTAGGGTGGCCTGGCCTAGTCATACCTGTTGTGCTGGGGGGTTCCAGGGCTGGTAGTTTGCCTGCTGCACTGGGGTTGGAGGCCTCACAGCTGGCCTGCTGTGCCACTGGACTGCTGAACCAGAACCAGGGGGCCTAGGTTGTTGATCTACACTATGGCTAAGAACCTCTCGCTGGCTTGCCCAGACACCACCTGCACTGGGCTGTGCTCTCCTTTTACACAAGTGCTCCCCTTTTTCCTGCAGTCCTTCTAAGTTATCTTGGGCTGGAAAATAGTTTCACCCAATCTTTTTTTGTGGATTCTGTCATTCCAGAATTCATTTAGAGGCTTGATTTAAAGTTGTTTTGAGGGAAACTGGGGAGAGCTTAAGCAAATTCCTTGGCTCTGCTTCCCTAGATCAATAATCTTTCCATTATGTCATCCTCCTATTTATGATTTTACCCTCCTATTTATGTGTCCCCTGTCTCTCCCTGTATCCTCTTCCTCTCCAAGTGCCCACTCTTGATTCTATTTCTCCTTTTTCTCTGTGTGCCACCTCCCTCTCTGAGTCCTTCTCCTTTCTGTGCCCCTTTTTTTCTCACTGTGCCCTTTATCCCTCAGTGAGTCCTTCTCCTCTCTGTGTCCTCTCTTCTCTGAGTTCTTTTTTTGTGTGTCCCCTCTCCTCACTCTATGTCTCCTCCCTTGTCTACATTCCATTCATCTCTGTGTGCCATTTTCCTCCCTTTGCCCCTAACTTCTCTATTTTCTTCTCATCTTTCTGCACCCATGTCCCTTTACCTCTCCGACTATAATTTCCTTCTCTATGTACTGTCTCCAGTTTGTACTTCCTTGTCTTTCCCAGTATGTTTTCCTCTGTATGTCCACTACTGTCTATGTATCTCACTCTATTCTCTATCAGTCTTGTCAAAAATAAAATGAATCCTGTACTTTGGATTGCAGGGACAAGTCTGCTAGAAACCATTTTTATTATTTTATCATTGTCCTAATCTAAACCTTGTTCTGCTCAGAGAGAAAAATATCCCAACTGAAATAGTCATGTGTCCATTCCCTACACCCACCCCCCACATATCTCCAACACAAGACATTTTGAAGTAACATTTATGGGAATACTGAAGAAAGGGAATTTCACAATATGATAAAACATACTGGTAGGTCCTTTGACTCCAAACCTGGTGGGCCTTCCAATAGGCCATACTGCTTCTATAATTCAATTGAATTTATATTTTTTGCATTCCTGTTATATTTTATTCTAGATGCTGGGAATATTCTTCCTATGAAATGATATTCTTTATAGATATGACACATAATTATACATGTCAGGGTAAGGTACAAATTAGCAATTTATTTCATCTCAGAGAACAGCAGCCACTTAATCTTGGAGAATAATTTTACTTCTAGTCCCTTCAAAGTAGGAGGAAAAAAGCTATTATTCAGGTGGACCAATAAAAGGGTCTGGTCACTGCCCTAATTACTTCAAAGGAGGATTCCTTCCTGTACTGTTGGGAGAAGGGAAGGGGACAAAGTAAGACTTATAAGAACTTCTTTTTCTGATTAATCAATTAAAACTCAGACTCTGAACCTCATAGTAACAGGGAAACATGAAAGGACATAACATTTTTTGGCTACATAAAAAATACTGACAAAAAGTAGAAATTTCATGCAGGCCTTCATCCAATATTACTACTATTAATATTACAATTATTGACATTAAATGGGAAGTATATTTTCTTAAAAATGTGATATATGCATAGGATCTTAAAAGAACATCATTTGTGTTTTTAAATAATAAAATAATATATAACAATAAAAATAAAATAATAAATAATAAAATAATAAAAAAATTTTAAAGTGAATGTTAAAAGAAACAACAGCCCTGGAACATCAGTGAAGAGTATGGTTTTAGAACACAGAATTTCAAGGCTGGGAGGATCCTTAGTATATAGGATGTATGAAATGTCAATTAATTTTCATGGGAGAAAATATTGGAGAGAGGATAGAGCTTAGAATAAGATTTTCAGATTGGGAAGTGTTGTTTGGGCTCAGAATGTATGTCAGAATTTGGAAAGACAACATCAAACCTGGGAGGGTACTAAGAACATAGAAAGTCTGAGGTTGTGGAAATTTAGAATTAAGAAGGTCTGTGCTGGATGGAATCCTCATACCTGGAATAAGAGGGATGACAAGGACCATAAAACATGGAAAATGGTAGAAAGTCAGAGCCTGATACAAAGCAGAAAACTTACAAGTTGTCAGAGCCAGTGGGACTTGAGAACATAGAAAGTCAGAGAATCACAATAGAGAAGAGAATGTCAGAATTGGGAAGGCACTAAGAACATGGGACATTATAGGGGAGAGCCTTTAGAACACAGAATGTCAGAACTAGGAGTGGTCTTAATACCAAAGAATGTTAGAGCTGGGAGGATTCTTAGAACACAGATGTTCAGAGCTTAGAGGAGCTTGAGAACACATCAAATCATAGCTAGGAAAGAGTTTTCTTTATGTGATTAGTGGGTTAAAGTAGTGATGTGATTAGGTTAATTTACAAAACAATAGGAGACACAACATTTACTTCAATATAGTTTCTATTAGCACAGTGGTAATGTTCTGAATGAAAACTCACATCCTAAGCCTTCCAGGAAAAAGATGAAAATACTGAGCCCACTTTAAATTACAAAAAATAACAACACATGTAATTTAAGATGTAATGTCTTCATTGGGTCAGACCACTAATGACTACTGTTATTGAAAATGAATAGGGAGGATATTTTGAAAAATATAAGGTGCTAAATACCCAGGACTTAAAAGGGAAACTATTTGTGATTTTATATCACTGGCATTTTAAGACACATAGTAAAACGAAAAGAAAAAAGAAAACCTGGCCGGTCAGAGCAGGGTACATCCTTAGAACATAGAATATCTGACTGCTGATGTCCCTCCAGTTTTGTAATCGTGAAGAAATACTAGGCCAGAGATCCTAGGCTTTTCTTGCCCCCTTTTGGAAGGACCACATCTCAAGTCTCAACAGGTTGATCCTTGTGATATGTGATGCCAAATCTTTGCAGTTCATAGTGGGTCTATTAGTACAATGGGGTGATTATGAACCAGAGCAGCTTCAGGAACAGCAGGCCACAGAATGGACATTTCTGGTTCAGTCAACTATTCATCAACATATCAGGGTCATTGGTAGTAAAGCAGCTAAGAAGCCATAAGCCTCTTGCATGCAACCGGTACTGGGATCTAAGTTCACACCAAAGTTTCCACATTCCCCTACCCACTCAATGTTCTCTGGCCCACCTGGCAAAATATCTTCCTCCAAGACAGTGACATCTGAGGAATGATACAAAATCTATGCCTCCCACTGCCCATGGAGGTCTATGTGGGTAGGAGTTAAACTCTGCCTCTGGTTGCTGAATCTGCAGGCCCAACTTTCGGTCTTATTATGCTGGTAATCAACAACAGCCAGGGAATTTAGGGCTTGGTGCTTTCTTTACCCTCCTGACCAGAGTCCTCCAGCATGCAGTAAGATAATCATTCTGCCTGAGTGGGAGCCAGCTCTCTCTTGCATGGAGATATATGATCAGGAGGTCTTTTGGGACCAGAAGCCATGCATTGTGTGCCCATCCAATCACTTCACCCTCCATATTTGCAGGGTTCTTCCCCCAACTCAATTACAACTTGAGTCATGAGGCCTTTGACTCTCATCCCAATTGCCAACTATGCCAAATGTTAGAGGCCAGCCTAATACTAAGTACAGCCTGAGTACTTATAACGTAAGTTAAATACATCACTGAGTACTTATACTCAGTTCAGAATCACTGTTGGGATGATCAGGTCTACTTTGTGCTCACACAGTATGGAAATGCAACAAGGATAGACTGATCCTTAGCTTCTCTGGACTTGGCTTTCCTCCTTTCCATATGGAAAAGCATCTAGTCAGCAGGGCAGGGTACTAGGACAGGGAATATTGACTCCAGTGCA